TTTAAAATACAAAATAAATAAACCTTATATATATATATATATATACACATAGAGTAATGATAAATCAAGGAACCGATGATGGAGTACGGATTGCGGAATGAAATGACGTGGTAGTGTCACATTTAATATTAATATTTTATTAGAATATTTTTTTTGTTATATTTTTATTTATTATTTAAAAATAATGAACTTAAAAAGCTTCTTGAAATTAATTAAAAATTCGACTGGAGCACTATAAATATAATAAAAAATTAATCAAAATCAAACATTAAGCAATTCAAAACTAGAAATCAATCAGTTGTGCAGCAGTTGTGCAAAAACCAAAAAAAAAAGAAGCAGCAACGGTTTTGGAGTTTCAAAGGAGAGAGAAACCACTTTCTCTTTCATTTGTTTCTTTTTTGAGCAGTGCTAGGGGCACTCGCATCCTGCACTCTCCAGCCAGCTCGTACCTTTTTATTTTTTTTAAAAATACACTGGAATTAGAGAATTAGAGAATGAGCAATCTGGTGGTAGAAATAAAGATAAATAAGGAGGTAAAAAAGAAAAAAAAGATACGAAAGTCATTATTTTTAATTAATCAAAAAATAATAAAAAAATATAAATATAATAAAAAAAATCACGTAAAATGTTCACGTAGCACTACCACGTCATTTCGTCCCATAAAGTCATATTATATTATATATATAAAACGCATTTGTTCAAAAAGCATGTGAGTACGGACATAGTACAGTCAAAAGGCATGGACAGAAAATGAGTGGCTAGAAAAACAGTTTGGAAAGTGCTTTTACCAACTGTCCGAAAAACTAAAAATATTTTCAAATTCAAATTTGAAAACAGAGACAACTGTTCCCAACATTGCTTGATCTTCTAGTACAAAACAGAAAGATGAAAGAAAGCAGCAATTCTTGAGAAGAATTACATCTATTTCAACTGGTGCAAGAGGCACCAACTGGGGCTTTATAAATAAATAAAAGAGCCCCACGAAGATTATAGTTCTTCCTCTATATTTCAAGTTTTCTGGTTGTTCTCTCTTCTTTGTTTTCCAGATTTTTGCTTTTAAAATTTAGTGTACTAACTTTGGATGATCAAAGTCCATTTTAACATGTATTGTATCTTGAAAGTAACGTTTATTATAGAGAGGTGAAAACTAATATTTTTAAGAAAAAATGATGAAGCTACTTTACTCACAATAATTACATTTACAGCTCTTTATATAGAGCACAATTAAGCTGGATGTTTCCTTCTGCCAACTCTCAATGCCACAACCTTTGCCCAACCCTCTATTTCTAAATTTCTTATAGTTTGCATAACTTCTTTGAGTTCATTTAGATAACTAGAGTTCTTTATAATTTTTTATTCTTTCTTTAATAGGATTAAATTGGTGTTAAAACCTCAAACTCGGGTAGTTTAGGGGCTTAAAATTATATGCTTAGAGGAAAATTATTTTCACACTTAATAAATTTAAGGACATATAGGTGACTTTTGCCATTATAATGGAGATATAAACTGTTAGAATGTTGTGCAAAACTGAATTCCAGTGTCCCTGTATCTAATTCAAGTTACCATAAAGCAATGAAACAAAAGAAACAATACAATTCAGGGGACTAGATCCAAAGCAACTCCACTAATCAGTTAAACAAATATATAGTTAAACAAATATATATAATAGAAAATGTTATTAAGATAATCTTTTTGTCACATCTTTTTTACAACTTGATATATTATTAAAATAATTAATTCTTTTAATTCATTTAAGATAAATATGTATTCACTCATTTAATAACATGTAAAAATTATATAAAAAAGTAAAACAAAAAATTGTCATTATAATACCACCCTATATATATTATAAACTTTCCTAAACAAGACTTACGAAAAACAAGCAAGAAAAACGTTGATCGGGTATTCAATCAGTTGGACTGGATTTGGATAGCTTGCGTACGCGTTGTGCACAGGAATGGTTT